TTGATGTGATCGATGCCAACGATTTTCAATATAGCACCAATGGCTATAAGTCCTTCCAGGTGGGCGGCTTTCAGTGGAACGGCCACTTCGATTGGGTGAATCTGTCCGAGCGCGAGAAGCTACGCCAGAGCCGGGAATGCAGTCAGCCACGTGAGATTTGCCCCGCCTACAGTCCCACAATGGCGGGCGGTCTGTTTGCCATGGACAGACGCTATTTCTGGGAGGTGGGCAGCTACGATGAACAGGTGAGCCGCAGCCACAAGACGAACTGCATGAATTGCTCATGTCTTTTTTTTTACTTTCCAGATGGACGGCTGGGGTGGTGAGAATCTGGAGATGTCCTTCAGAATCTGGCAGTGTGGCGGCACCATCGAGACAATACCCTGCTCCCGAGTGGGCCACATCTTCCGCGACTTCCATCCCTACAAGTTAGTTTACAATTTCAATTCCTGTTCAATCCTTTTGTTAACTGAAATCTTCTTGCTCGCAGATTCCCCAATGATCGTGATACGCACGGCATCAACACCGCTCGCATGGCGCTGGTCTGGATGGATGAGTACATAAACGTATTCTTTCTGAATCGACCGGATCTGAAGTTCCATGCGGACATTGGCGATGTCACGCATCGCGTAATGCTGCGCAAGAAGCTGCGCTGCAAGAGCTTTGACTGGTACCTGAAGAACGTGTATCCCGAGAAGTTTGTGCCCAACAAGAATGTCAAGGCCTGGGGCCGAATTAAGGCCGTACACGCCAATCTGTGCGCTGACGATCTGCTGAGCAACAACGAGAAACCCTACAACTTGGGCCTATATCCCTGTGGCAAGGAGCTGCAAAAGTCGCAGCTCTTCTCCTACACCAAGAGCCAAGTGCTGCGCAACGAGATTAGCTGCGCCACAGTCCAGCACAGTAGCTCGCCACCGTATCGCATCGTGATGGTGCCCTGCCTGGAGAACGATGACTACAACGAACAGTGGAAGTACGAGAACCAGCAGCTGGTGCACAGCAACACGGGCATGTGCCTGGATCACGAGGGACTCAAGAGCATGGACGATGCACAGGTGGCGCCATGTGATCTGACCAGTGAGACACAGCGTTGGATCATTGGACACGAATAAGTTAAGACACACACACACACACACGCCTGTGGCCAGGCCCAGCGAGCGGACCAAGCCAATTGCAACTGAGAGAAACTGACTAAGCGAAGCGAAGCGCTTTTAACTACAGACTCAAATAAACGCAACAACATGTGTAAATAACAATTTAGAAAAAAAAAATACAATGCTAGAAATACATATGTATATTTTCTATATAATATATACACCATACACTATATAGATTGTGTAAGTTGTAGTTAGAGAATATCAAACAAAATCAACACAAATCAAAAACAAGTCAAAAAATATTATACCATAAAAAAAAAAGAACACAAAACACAAGATACAATATGTGTTGTGCATTTGTTGTGTAAAGAAAGAAAAAAAAGAAGAAAGATAATTGGAAACTAGAACAAGTTGTATAGATATACATAATATATTATATCGGTTTATGTGCATAATATTCCTATGTAAATGCTTGAATAATAATAATTATAATTGCTATGTGATCATCAAAAATGATAAATTCATCATAACACTCGCATTCCAAAATGCAGTTCAGCCAATTGCAGAGTCTCGAATAATTAAACTATGTCATGAGAACCACATCAAAGGCGTTGTAAGCATTTATTAACTAATGACAACTTTTTTTGCCATCTGTTTTCTTTTTTTTTGTTTTGAAATTCAAATATAAAACAACTTCCAAACGGAAGATTAAAACAACACATGACTTATATAATCTTTGATGGCCGGGTCAAGTCTTTGCCCAAAGACATAAAAAGAGGTCTAGTTCAGGGCCAACACGTATGTAAGTCGCTTAAGTCAAGGTAAGTATGTGTGTGTGTGGCTCTCAGGTATTTACACAGCTGGGCTTGCCTCTATAAGCAGAAGGTATTTGGCTTGATAATTAAACACAATGCGGCTCATTGCACGTTTTGTATATTTATAGATTTTTAAATACATAATTTCTTGTTGTTGTTTTTTTTTTTAATTTAATCGAATTGGTTGAATACGCGTTTTTTTTTTTGTATTTTTGCTGACGTTCATTAAGTTACTAAAACTGGAGTAAAATAAGTAAGTATAAATTACAGAAATTGTTCTTGTTTTTGTTGTTGTTGTTGTTGAATGTCTGTGTTTTTTGTTAAGTTGTCTGTCTTGCGATTGTTAATACGAGTACACAAAAGTTACAACTACAATAGCAAAGTGAAATTTTACAATAAAAATTAACAACTGCATTTAGAGCTCGTGTTGATATTTGTGTATTTGTTGATTGCACAATAAAAGCATTTGTTGTTTTTTTTTTTTTTTTTTTTTTTTTTGACTAATTCCTATTGTTTATTCAACTTTATTTGTGTAGTTGTTCAATGGTAGATGGTTTTGCTTGCGAGGGTAGACTACAATTTGTAATTGATGTATTTTGTATTTTAATAACAATTATTTCGTTGATCGTGCTAAAAGCTCTAAAGTGCTCAAATTTACGAATATCATTTTTATAATTTTTTGGTTTTCTGGGTGCTATCCACATAAAATGTATATGCTGCTCTTCTATGCGAAGCCAATGCATAAAATAACATCTATTCATACCGAGCCTATATAACTATTAAGTAGTATATGTATATATAATGTTTACCGGGGTGTGTCTGTGTATTATATGATTTGCAAATCATATTGTATCTACATTTAACTGTCTGATAGGGCAATAGCTCCTAAAATGTGCCATATAATATATGTATATAGCGGTTAGATGCTGCGTTCTTGCTTTAAGGTACCTTTTTAATTTGCATGCATTTTCAATCTTGATTTCTTCTACTTTGCGTTCTGCTGTTCTACACTCTATAACTTAATACATGTGTGTACTGTAAGTTCTAGAAGATGCGTTTAGCAAGCGCTTTTTTTTTTTGTTGGTAATTTTCATTTAAACTCTTTCTCAACTATTTTACAATACATTGAAAGCGCATTATGCGTGCCTTTAATTTATTTAAATGTTTTCGTTTGATTTAAATCGGAATATCTTTCATAATTTCAAGCTCTATTTGAATGTAATTTACGCTTATTAAATGCATTAAATTTCAGTAATATTTCATTTTTTGTTTTGCAGTTAATGTTTTGTTTTATGCGCCTTTATGTACACTCAACTGTACATTTAATTGTTGTGCTGGGCGGGTTGCAACAATTTAATGAGTTTTTTTCTTTTTGTTTTGCTAGAAACAAATTTTAAGAACTCAAATGCGGCGTCTACTAATTGCACACACACCAAATATTATGTATTATTTTGAATGCTCTTTGAGCATTATTTTTATGAAAATTGTTGTTTTTAAACTCAAAAAAATGTTTTCGTTTTTTCAATACTTTCTCAAGGAGCATTTTAGCTTCGGCCAACCGAAGATATATTTAGTTGTTCAGTTTAAATTATATGTATTATTGGTAAATAAATAGTTATGTATATATATATATAATTATTATGTAATTGTATATATATATATATATATTGTAGTTTTTAGCTTGCTTTGAATTTTTCAATTTTGGACGTATTTTCAAGTATATATTTTTGTTTTTGTTTTTGGTAGTTGATGCAAGTAGAAAACACAGTTCGAAAATATACATATGTATACCTAATATATAATACACATTCATGTATGCATACAAGTATTATACTGGTTGACTGTCTGGCTGTAGTTCCTCCAGTTGGGTTAATTTAACTTTTCAACTCATATATTTTGAATTTTTTTTTTTTATTATTTTTTGTTCGGTTTTGAATTTTGGTTTCTAAGTGTAAATCGCTTGTTGTCGGTTGTAGTGTTATTATTTTGCTTTTTATATTATAATTTTTTTTTATTTTTTGTTTTTTTTTTTATTGTTTGTAAATTGCAATTTATCTCAGACTCAGTTTGGAGTGTCTTGGATGTCTTGGTTGTTGGATGGATGGATACGTTTACGTACAAACGTTCGTCAGCCGGTTTGCTGTTTATCTTTCCATATATATATATATTTCATATGTCATAGATTATCTTAAACATAAAATTGAATATTCAACACAATTATTGCTTCATTTTCATCTTCATAACTTCCTTTCCACGCAGTCCACAATCTTTGGACTAACGCAAGCCTTTCATTCTGTATCAGTGTTCGGTTAATGGTTCACAAACATTGGCGCACAACCTTCAACATTGATCGATATACGTCTATATATATTATACAAATAATAATACTCATACAGACAAAAAATTGATATTGCACATCGAATAGCAAAATAATAAGACATAACCCAAAACATATATATTCATATATATATTCATATATATATATATATATTTAAAGATAGCAAAATGAAGTTTATTTAAATATACAATATAAATGGAAAAATTATAAATACATCACATCAAATAATACAATTAACATATATACCGCGCGTATGCCAAGCTTCTTGTTCTCAAAACAAGATACAAGATAATTAGTTTATATTTAATCTTGATTCGCTTTTTCTTGTTTAGCACAGGCGCAGCGATATGGAATATGTTATTATATACTAATATTGTATTGGTTTCTTGTCGGTATATATATATATGTATGTAAATGCGCTAAACAAAATCTGAGCTCAATTATAAGGGAAATATATATTGAAAAAATATTGCATGTCTGGTAAAACTTACTGCATTAATATTTATATACAACTGATTTCATATATTTCACATAGTCCATAACAATAAAAAATAAGCTCGTAGTAGGATTAACCAAGTCACATTGATATAGTTCAAGATATACAAATATAAAATAAAGTTTCGTACGTACAAAAAACAATTGAACTAAACTAGGCAATTAATTAATCAACCGGTACAAAAATATATATAAATATATATATATTAATATAGTAAAGTTCGTGCTTTATCAAAAAGCAGCAAACATTAATTAACTACAAAGAACTCAACCAATTTAATCGGAAAAAAACCATTAGGAAACATACACACATACACATTTAAACGATCATAATTATAAACTACCATATAGACTAAGGGTATCAAAGTGTTCCGTGGTATTGCACTTGGTTAATGCAACTACGCAAACGCTTTGCTTAGTTAATCCATTAGGATCGGGTGCAGCTGGCAGAGAGAGGGGGAGCCCACTTGGTTAATTAATTGCTAGTTGCTAGTTCTGCTGTAGACACCGCCTTACAAATACATATCAAAGCGTTGGATTAGGTGTGTGTGTGGCTGTGTGTGTGTCTGCGTGTGTGTGTGTGTGTAATTGCGGCATGCGGTGCGATAGAGAGTAAGTTAAGCTAGCGTGTAATTGGTTAATGCTCCGCATTGTTCGTTGCTGGACGATGTGCATCGTTGGCGACCTTAGAAGGCCGTCGAGCGTCGATTGGCATAACACTTCTTGCCATGACTGTTCGCATCCGCAGCGTTGCTGGTTGCACGCAATCTGTGGCAGGTTGTTGGAGTCGCAGTTGCTGCTGCAGTTGCACCAACTCGACTGCTAACCAGCGTCGACTGCCTGCAATTAGTCGAACGCTGCAGCTGATGCGAACATTTTGGGTACAATCATTTGCGCGCCGACACGTTCAGCGATTCGCCACGGCTCTTCGAGCGAGTCATCGAGCTGCTCATCTCTGCAAGAAGTCATTTAATGTGTGAAGTGTTATATTGTGGTCGTCATTTGATTTGTCATCTATGGCCGCCCACCTTTGTTGATGCTGTTGCTCTTCTCGGTCGCCTTGTAGGCGCGCATCGCCTTGCCGCGCTTGTCCAGGAGCAGTTTATCGGCGCGCACAAAGATGCCGTGCTTGGGCTTGCACTGGAAGTACTGTATGCCCTGTACGGTGCCATCGTTCTTGCCCGTCGGCGTGTCCAGCGCCACGCCAATCCAGGCGCCTGGCTGAAAATGTGTGGTGCCCACAAAGCTAATAACGCCGCTGGTGTTATACGGACGTATAAGCACCGATTCACCCACCACAATCCACTCGGGCAGCGTCACGTCCAGATCCTTGCCATCATCTGTTAACATAGCGGAAATAATAGAACGATTCCCAGGTTCGTTTGTGGCATACACACCTTCCACCTCTGTGCTGCTGGACATGATACTGGCATTGACATCTAAATAGGCGCCCAAACCCTCCATTTTGGCCACCGAGGCGCGTTGGTTGTTCCGTGTCACTTGGCTCGTATTATTGCTGTTGCTGCTGCTATTGTTATTGTTGTTGTTGCTGCTGTCGCCATTGTTCGTTGGCTGCGTTGCGGACTTTTTGCGCCGCATTACTTTGCCCGGAGGCAGCTGCTCTTTAACAATGCCATTGCCTTCAAGTTGCTGTTCAACCGACTCGACTGTTTCGCTAGTGTCTGCGGCATGCTCTAGCATTTTATTGCCATTCTGATTGTCTGTGGCCTGCACAAGTTCAGGTGCATCTGGCTGTTGCTCCTGCTGCACCACCTCCCGCTGCTGCTGCTGCTCCTGTGGCATTTCTGGCACTGGCAACTTGACGCTCTCATTGTTATTGCTCTGCTGCTGTTCACATTCCTCATCGCTTTGTGCATTTTCCTTGGGCTGTTCTAACGGATGTGTTAGGGTCTGTTGCAGCTTCTTTGCCTCAGCATCCTGCGTTTTGGCTTTTGGCATGTCCTTCAGGAAGGGATTGACGCGAGTCTGGCTTTTTGGCGGCGAATGGGAATTTATACGATCGAAATCTACAAACACAATAGGAATATATAGTACGAATATTGACTGGATTTGCCCGGGTGCGTCGAAACCTCACGTCCTGCATAGATATTTGAGAATTGCTATCCAATCCTTTGAATGAAAAACAAAATGTTCCAATTTCCCTCCTCCAATTTCCCTTTTTCCTTCCATTTCGGTGGCTTTCGCAAATCGATGAAACATTTTTGAATAAGCTTTTAAATTTATCTGATCGCTTGAAGAACAAAAAAATACGTTTTCCGTGCGCTTTCCATACATGTGGGTGAATTTTCCAAAATAGTTGATTAATTTCGAATTGTAAAAAGACGAACGTTGGATTCCTCGGATCCGAATTTTCCACATGAGGCGGTCGATTTTTCAAATGAGTATGGAACACGTAAAACAATTTCACAAATAACAAAATAAAAATGCTGAAGCCAGCCGAATGGTTAACAAAAAAGTTTCAAACAACCGATATCCAAGAAATTTCCCAAATGAGAATAAACCTATCTAAGACCCTAACTACCGTAAAAAAAATACAGTTCTCGCTGTGCATTGATCCTCAGTAAGTCACTCAGTCAATCAGGGCAAATAGTTTTATGTATATATAGAAGTTGGGCACTCACCTGGCGTCTCATCAATGCTCATGGAACGCATGGAGGTAATGTCCTCATTGCTTAGGTTATTGCAGGACACGGCTTGGGAGCCGTAGCCGCTGCTGGTAGACGAGCTCATGCTGAGCGTGGCCAATCCAGTTAGATGCTTCATGTTTGTATTGGCGCTGGATGTGTAGCTCAGATAGCTTTGATTCGAATGACTGCTGACATCCATGAACGAGTCCATGGTCTTGGAGGCGGTCAGACGGGAGCGTGTCGCGAGGTTTTTATTTTGCTGCCGCTCCTGCTCATACTCGGCGGCATACTCCGAATCGCTGTAACTATCCTCGGGCTCCTCGTCCAGCGAACGGTGCCCGCCCAAAGGCTCCTCATGCAGCGTGGTCATGCGCATGCCCAGCAGCTTGCTCGTTGCCGGCGAAGCTGTATAAATAGATTAAGCATAGATTAGTTAGAAAAACGTTGGTATACTAGAGCTTAGCTAGGGCTTAGAGCTAGACAAACCACATACGTTTTGTTGGCGCAATTCTCAATGTGTTCAAGTTCAAATTGAGATTCAAAAATGTTGGACGCGCTGCATTCCACGGGTATTCAAGGAAGACAATGATTATGTTTGATATGTTTAGTTACAATGATTAAACAAGATCTGATGAGCGATACAATAAAAAAAAAAAGTAACTCACTAGCTGAATGGGCGACTAGTTCGCCACACTTAAAAAAACAAACACAACAAACATGAACAAGAGAACAAGAACTAGGATAAAGGAACTAGGTCGTCAATTGATTAACTTAATGCGCTCGATTTCGTGCTCTGAACGCGTGCGCTGCGTGCCTGCTGTGAATGGTGCGCCAGATTGGGAAATTGGAAAACACAGAATGTATGTGTGGAGTGTACAATGAATGAAGACAAATGTAAATACAATGAAACATATGAACATATGTAAATGGACTCTAATTGAAACATATGCACAAATGATGCCGAGTTTTATCAACTATTTTGTTCAGTGTACACGATATTGGGTGGCATATGACGAAAGAGTTATTGATATTGATGATGGGGTATGTTTGTGGGAATGACAGCTAACGTTTTACCAGCAAACAGAACTAACACAAAACTACAAAATTACTAACTAAATTGTAGTACTAGTAATACAGCCCGCCCGCCTAAAATGATGAGGTTACATTGGGTAAGACATGTTATGGTACATAGATGAGTTCAACATTTATGTTTAATTTTGGGCAAGTTGTCTTTGTCCATGGGCATGACTGAGTGTGCTAGCATGTGTAAATGTGTGTGTGTGTGCGTGTTTGTGTGAACAACAGACATACTGAAACGCCAACTAACAATTAATGAATTTGCAATCAATCTTATACTATGCATTTTACATGGGGCCAGCCTTTACCTGACAGTATAGAGCCTGTTTGTTTGATTTATTTTATTTATATATATTTTTTTTTGTTTTTGTTTTGGCGTTTTGAATTTCAATATTTGAAATTTTTTCAAGTTGTTTGAGAAAGCACAGAAAAAGAGTACATAATGACACGTGAAAAAAGAACCAGACATACAAACGAGTTATACATAATAGAAAGTAATCTGAGCTTGTGTTCGAAATATGATATAGTACTTATGTGAGAGTTGTTGTAATGAGAGATGTATGTGGGTCAATGTGTCAATTTATATGATAAGCACAGGTGAAGAGTAATGTGCATTTTGGAATCGAATCCAAATATTTATCGAGTGGGTGTTCTTTTTAATTCTTTATTTTTATTTTTTTTTTTTTTTGCTATGGTGTTGCATTGAAGCATAAGCAAAAGTTGAACTGTAGAAACAAGTTGAAGCGGCAATTGCATTAACAGTTTGTATAAATATTTGCTTGCTTTTCATTTCTTGGGCATATAAAAAGCATTTTGTTAAAGGATTTATCTTTTTATAGCCGGACCGCAAGAGAATGTGTCTAGGATAACCGCGTTAGCTACAAGTTAGAAATACGAATACATAATAAAGTATGCTAAATATACTTGTTAGAAAATTAGCGCTAGATATTAATTTTGTAAAAAATCTATATAAAGATATGTCAAGTACGTAAACAAAGATAAATCCCTTGCTCTAGGGCATGGCAGCCTATTTTGGGTTGCTGCGCATAAGCATAAAAATACTTCTTATATATAGTTAATATATAATTTGTATAGTTAGAGAATATATATGTATGTTGTGATAGAAAAAAACTTTGGTTATATGTTCGTAAACGTTTGGAAAGAGTTGCTCAAAATTAAAGGTGAGTTTGAAATAAAATTGTTTATGACTCGCTGTTAATTCTCTGGGGGTATACATACCAATGCCAAAAGCTTTCCCTGGAGAGTCATCGCTGCTGCCCTTGCCGCCAAAGCTATGTCGATTGCGTATAACACCACCATTGCCACCGCCTGCTCCGGCGCCGCTGTGTGCTGCAAGCAAAGGTGCGGTCCATTAGTTGAATAAACATCATAAAAACCATATTAAATAACATACCTGGCGTAAATTTATTGCCGAGCGCCGTGTTATTGAGATCCGCAAAGGACTCGGAGCGACCCACATTGAGCAGCGACTCCATGGAGGCATCGAAGCGCATGATCTGCATAAGTTTAGTCATGAGTTTCTTGGCGTCATAAATTGCATTTTTGATATTTAGCATATTTACAACAACAAATGTTATTTTATATCGTGAATGAAAAGAATGTTGAAAATAAAAATATTAAAACATAATGAAAATCAAAAACCAAACAAAACTGGCAAACGCGCACAAATCAACTCGGGATATCAGGAAAATAGACAAGACAAAAACAACAAAAGATTTTACAAAAAATAGTAGACAAATATTGCACGTATCTACAGAAAGCATAGTTTACATTGTGTTTCGAGTACATTGCACACAGATTACTTACACTCCCGGTGTTGGTGGTTTCTTTGACCGTCTGTGTGCGCAGTGAAAAGCGTTTTGTACACAGCACAGGGCAGTTAAATATATACACCCACACACAATATACAGATTTAGATAATACCAATATACAATTGCAGTTTGTTAGGCGCGCCAAATTTAGTTTAAATATTTTTAAATTAGTTTTTTTAATTTTTTGTGTGCGGTGTGAACAACATAATTATTGGTGGGTTAGATTTTTTTTTTTAGTTATTTTATTGTTTGGTGAAAGCGCATAGAAATTGTGAAAAGAGAAAGAATTGCGTTTTTAGTCAAATATTTGAGTTGTACAAATATAATTTTGCTAGCGGTTGTGGGGTGGCGAGGTGTAAGCACAAAAGGCACTAGAAAGCTTAGCTTTTGAAGCAGCCGTTGAGCGGCATCACATACCTGCGAGAAGTTCGGCACACTGACGGTCTTGCGCATTGAGAGTGGCTGTCCGTGCGCCGTCTCCAGCTCCTTAACGGCCACATTCTGACGCAAACGGTCCAGTATTAATATGCTCTCCACAGCTGAGACACCACGCGTGTATTTCTCTGAGTGAATAAAAACATTTTATTATATATATTTTCTAGAATGAATAGATAATCCGCCAGCAGCTCACCTATGTAGGTCTCGCCATCGCAGGCCGAGCAGTCATCACCACTGGCTGCCAGCTGGGCCAGCGATTCGCGATCTTCTAGCTCCTCCGAGGCCTTGGGTATATTGGAGACCACCTCGTAGGTAACGCCACTCTGCCAAATGGCATTTTCGCCGCGCACCAAGCGGAACTTCTTCAGCCGATCGGTTAGTGTTTGACCCTTTTTGATGTTGATGCTGAGCCGCTTGCGCAGCACCAGATCCATGGGTGCTGGATGCGATAGGCGCACTGTGGTGCGCAGTATAAGATAGATGCGTTCATTCGCTTCGGTTACACGATTGAGCGCCTGACTGTCATGCATGGATGAGTCCCAGCTGGCCACGCAGCACACATCCTTGTCAAGATGCTGCAAGATTTGCAACGTGTAAAATCTGTGGCCATGCTCCTTGGAGAGAATGGAGTTGATGCCCGATATGGACAGCTCATCGTTAGTATTTTGCGCGGAGAGATCATCGCCGTTAAGATTGAGAAACAACACCGGTACATGCGGCTCCATGCCTGCAGGCGGGTCCCAGGAGGCGGGTGCGCCCGGTATGCCCGAGCCCGGTGCCGGCACCAGCACCGCATTGCGCTCCTCGGTCAGCGAGACCCACTGATGCACCAGACTGAGCTCACGTTCGCGTTCCTGTTCGTTCTTCTCCTCCTTTTTAATAAGCATCTGTATCTGCTGGTCCAAGTATTGTCGCCGGCGACCCAGCGCCTCGCTCCACTTTTCGCGCAGCACAGTGAGATCCTCCTCCTGATAGGAGTCAAGCGGTCGCTGCAATCGTGAGCGCACCGTCACGCTGCCAATGGCCACATTGACTATCGACTGGCAGATGATGGGCAAGGTTCCAGAGTTCTGTACCGGCTTGACGCGCACATTGACGCGACGCTGCTGGCCTTGGCGCAGCTGGTAGATGCCGCCAGTGAGCACCTCATTGCGGTTGGTAACCTCGACGGGCGAGTACTCGCCATTGTCGTTGAGCTCGTGTATCTCCACCCACAGTTCGATTTTACGCGACAGCTCCGCCCAGCGATCGACCAGGGAGCGCGCCTTGGCCTGCTGCTGCTCCACTTCCCAGCCCTTGGACTTGGAGAAGCCAGCGCTGCGATGACCCCACACCTCAATGGAAAGCGCGCCCTCGATGCAATGCTCCAGGAACTCCTCGTTAATGGTGACCGTAAAATCTTGAGTGTGCTCAAATTTGAATACCATATTCTGATCAAGGGCCGTAGATTCGGCATTGATGACCGGCACCACCATCTCCTGGTGGCCCCAGAATGTGTATTGGCAAAAGACGAAATTGGACAGCGACAGTGGCAGTCCCGAGGCGCATTTGATGGTGACGCGGCAAGTGATCTGATTGGCCATGGGATCCACAGGGTCATCATACTCATCGCGCGAATCCGCCGACGAGGTCTCCGACACCGATTCGCACATGCGATCTTGCGGCATTTGGCCAGCCACGCGTTGAATCTCCACCTGCAAGCGACCGGCTACTTCGCCTTGCTGACTTATGATGGGCGTATGATAGTCCAGTTTGACATCGTGGAACAGCACCTCGAGAAATACATTCGCAACGCCAATTAGATTGTGATTCTCCTGTGACTCATAGAACGGATCCTGTGGCTTGCCATTATCCTCGTCCTGCAAAGGCACAGCACAGCATTAATTTAAAGGGAAATGCAATATGCATATAGAGGCTATGCTAAAGCTAAGTTGTGTGTGTTCATGGATTCGGGGACTTATTAATTACCTTGTCGTCAAATTCATCATCTGAGAATGTCTCAATAAGGGGCTGTATCAAGGGTTAATTGAATGCGTGTGCGAATTATACGAGTACACATAAAGGTTTATGGTTAGTACAATAGACAAAAAATGGAAAAGGTGATGCTGTAAATAAATTGCCACGCACCAGTCCGTTGAGTATGCGCTCCTTGTGCTCCTGGTACATCTCACGCATATCAATCAGTTTGTTCTCCAGCTTCTCCATGCTCCAGATTTGGCTGCCGGAATTTGTGCGCTTTACCAGAATTGCGGGCTCGCTAACAAAGGCCCCACGCCGTCGATTCGGACTCAAATTAGCTGGCGGTATTTGTAGTGTTACCGAGAATTTGGTCTTCTTCTCCATTTCCTCGGCCAGAAAGTTGGCCTCCTGCACTAAGGAATTTGCACGCATAATGTCTGTCTTAAGCTGACCCAGCGAACGCCTGAACATTTCATCGCGTTCCTAGAAGCAAAGGCAAAAAGTTATAGACATCAGGTCTCAATATCCAAACGATGAATTTATTTCCTTACCTGTGCCCACTTCTCTACGCGCATCTGCGAGGTGGGCGTATTGGGCGTTACTTTGCCCATGCGCAGCGGGTCGTAGGGCGCATACGGTGCATAGGGTGTACTGGGCGAGAGTATATTACGTAACTGTTGGAACTGACGCTCGTATTCTTGTCGCTGCTTCTCGAGCGCCACCTGCTTGTCTTCTTCATGTTGACGCTCCAAGCGTGCAATTGCTGTCTGTATGGGATCATTGCTTAGCTCATTCTGCATAATCTCATCGCGCGCAAAATTGTAATCGATCAGCTGTGCAGGTGTTTGAGGCTCCGATGCGCACAAGGTGGCATTATTTCCTATTCTCGGCGAGTTGACGCGGAAAAAGTGATGGTTGCCCCAGAGAATACGATCGCCGTTCTGCAGCGGCGTTTTCTCTAACACTGCGGAGCCATTGACAAAGCAGCGAGCGCCCTGCACGGGCTCCATAAACAGTCCGGTATCCTCAATAGTAATCACACAATGCTCCGGCTGTATGCCCAAGCCAGATAGCTGAATATCCGGCTGCTGACCACTTATGCTGCGGCCGCCAATCAGCGTGCGTTCCTGGAATAGATTAAAAGCTTAGCAAATGTTTTGGTTTTCAAAAGCAAATAGAGCTTACCTTCAGGTAATAAACCAATAGCTCATTGAGGGACGGATCTGCGTTTAAATTGACCAGGTAGTACTTGTTTTTCTCGACCTTAATGCCACTGGCCTGGACACTGATGCCCATTTGCTCCAGAGCCTGTTGTCGCTCGTTTTGTATGCGCTCTGTTTTGACCAGTTTCTCCTCCCAGGTTTGCGAGATTTGCTTCATTAGATTCTCGCTCTCGGCCAGCTTGTCTTGTACATCACCCACTGGCGAGCCTGTGGCATGCTTTAGCATGCTACGCAATGTCTCCACCTCATGACGCAGTTCGCGTATTATGCGCGCATTGGGATCTTCATTGACCACGGCATGATTGACGATGCGCTTGGCACGATCTGCATAGCGTAGCGTAGAGAGCGTCTCCTCGTAGTTGTCCGCCGAGGGTGATATGGTGGCCACCATGACAGTTCTTGAATTGCCACCCAGGTTGTCTTTTAGCAGCCAGGTCAGCACGGAATCTCGATAGGGCACAAACTTTTCATTGCCACCTTTTTTGCCATTCGATTGATCGGCCAACTTGGATATGACCAGGCCCAGTGTAGTTAAGGATCTGTAAGCGCATATTCAAATCGTGAATAAGTGAATATATAAATATTTATTAATTGAAAGTTACTCACTTGTTAATATTGGAGCCCTCTTTGAGGCGATCACCAACAGCGCCCGTTTTGACCGCACGCTCGGAACCAGCCAAATCGACAAGGGACATGCGTGAGACTTTCTCTCCACTGACGCCAGTTGCTTGATCTGTGAGTATCTGTGTTAGCACAACCGAGAAGACGGCATGGGAACGCGACGATTCTGCATTCATATTAGTTGCAGCAACAGTGCGCGATTTGTTGCCCTCGGTCATGAGGTTGTCTATATCCTGATACGATGCGACTGCGAGCTGCGACAGGCCATCGACATAGGGGCCGAGTACATTATGTTCGCGCACCTTAAGCGAATGCTTGTTTGGTTTCGGATCGAGCAGATCGTGCACTTTCTCATTGTAGATCTCCATATAGGATACCTCCACTTTGTACATGAGCTCCGGTGTCGATTTGTTCGCTATTGCCAAGAAGAGCTTGTCACAGAGACGCGGTATAATGCCCTTATTTTCCTGTGAGCCCATCATTGTGTACGATTTGCCAGAACCTGTGAAAGAATGAGTCACGATCGTGTCTGTGGTTCATATTGTATGTTGGTATGGCACACTTACCCGTCTGGCCGTAGGCGAATATGCATGCATTATAGCCTTGAAATGCATTATCCAGTATATCACGTCCCACGCAATCGAAGACCGTCTCCTGTGACGCAAAGCTGTCATCTTCGGGATTGAGCGAGTAAAAGCAATGATCGAATGCAAATGTCTTTGGTTGTTTTCTGCATGAATCAGAGGATTAGTGGGTGTTGGTGAGCATGAAAGTCAAGACTAGGCCTGCTTACCTTTCCATTTTTTCCAATGTTGGGGGATTTTGCAATATCGTTTGCTGTTTTTCCATTTCGACGATGCATTTTGTACCCAATTCAATTTCTGTTGCAAGCGATGGTTATATGTAAATAAATATTTATTTATATATATATATTATTGTAATGCACATATGATAAGTATAATTTGAGTTATTTTCAGTACAAGGTTGATAACAAGTTCAGAATAGCAGAGGCAAAAAATAATTATAATATATATTTATATACGATAGATACATGTATGTGCATACGCTTGTCAGCTGATTTCGTACATATGTGCGAAAAAAAAAACGCAAAACTCATACAATTACTTAAACATATGTATATATTATGTCCGTACATTGTATAATCAAGCGATAAATGTCTATATGTATGAATGTGTACTTGTATGTAATGGCAAGTCCAATGCTATAGCGCAATCTTTATGCACATAAATAAAAACGCGAACCTTTCAAATAATTGTAATTTCAGAAATGAAAACGAACGAAAAAAAAAAAAAACTGTTGCCCAAAACGTGCAGCGCCATAAATATTCTGGCCTGAAATATTTACTACTTACAGCTAAACACGGACATTGCACGGCAATAAAAAGAGAAGTCGAATTGTTGAATTTGCTAGCTGCAAAAATTGTTGAAATATTTGAAACCTTACGGCCATTGTCCTTCGCACGTAAAAAAGGCAAAAAACAAACAAAGGACAGGCTAACAGGATGGCAGGCAGCCTGGCTGGTCAGAGAGGCCAGCCAGTGCAGACTTAAGCCAAGTTAAAGTACAGTGAAGCCCTAAGAGTACAGCGATTCAAAATCATCTTGGCGACTTTGAGACTTGACTTGACCATTTTTGGCCTGATAATCTTTTTACTATGTGTTGTTTTCCAGATCTGTGGACGGCAAATTCGACAAATGCTTAAAACTAAATGAAACAGAAACAGGCTCAACTTTGGCAAGCTTCACTGTATTTGCAGGCACACATGCATATGCAGCACATATGTGTGTGTATTGTGACCTGCTCCTGGCGCTGTACACTCACTTCCGTTGCAAAAATAAAGCCGACCTGACATGGACATTGGCAAAAAGGGCAGAGCAAAGGCGAGAAATCGAGAATGTTGAGAAACCACAAAGGACACACATCAACACGGGCCATCAACGAGTTGTTGTTGTTGGTTGCTTGTGTGACTGTGCGTGTGCGTGTGTGTGTGTGTATTGCCTATAACAAAGGCGTGCCATAAATTATTTGATAGGCTGGCCCCAATTGTGAATGAGTTCTGGTCAGTTGGTCAGCTCCAGCCGAAGCTTGAGCTGCTGAGTTCAGTTGATTTGGACATTTCTTCGCCATAACCTTAAAATGTGCATACACTTTTGCCATTGTACAATGTTGAAATTAACATACACACACACACACACACACATACACAGAGACTAAGCCACACTCATACAGAGATTTAGATAGACATTTGGTCAGCAGGCAGGGAAAAACAGGTTAAGCTTTTTGGTTGCTTTCGCGCTGTGACTTCATTTCGAACGCAACTGTTTGCCTGTGTTTGTTGTGTGTGTGTATTGAGTGAGTGAGTGTGTATGTGTGTGTGTGTGTGTGTGTGTTGTGTGTGCTTTGTTTTGCTGTTTCTATATAGTTTCCATTTTACGCTTTGTGACTTGAAGAGGTCGTCAGCTAAATGTGGCCCAAATGCGGAGCGATGCGTAAGATATCGCATAAAAATTGATGAGGAAATCGAGTTACCTAGTCGATTACGTCTAATATAATATAGTATATATAGCATAATTGTAATATTAACTTCACAAATATGCGTATATCAGACCTTATCAGAGCTTTGATAACAATGACGCGTATATTAATATATGTAGCTTGTTTCGCTTATCATTCGAGCACACTCACACAGAGTCAATCACACTCTGTCCTGACAGTGAATCAAGCGTATAGAGAACATGACACAAGCTAGCCCCAAATAAAGAAGTGATTTGGCAACGTGGGGAAACAGCAGCAGCAGCAGCAGCAGATGGAAACAGAGCAAAAGGAATTGGCGATACAAAATACGAGAAAAACATATGCGAAAAGTAAATGGCAATGACTTCCACTTGACGCAGCCGTGGGGCTCAAATTGACTGCTCCCCAGAGTCCCCCCACATTTCCGCTGCACTGTGCATGTATGCGAGTGTGTGTGTGTGTGTGAGTGTGAGTCATGGATAAGCCAAATGAATGATCGCCGTTGACATTGGCAAAGTGGAAACGCAGTGTTTAGCTTTTGCTATTGCCTTTGCTTTGGCTGCACTTGCAACACACGTCAATTGTTGGTTCCACCTCGTGAAAATTTAGCTGGAAATGTAAAGCGTTAGTTACGTGAGTCAGTCAGTCAATCAGTCAGTCAGCCAGTCAGTCAGTTAGAAGCTCTGCAAGGCTGTCAGCGCAAAAAGTTGCTGGCGTTGCATTGAAAAACGAGGCGACCTTTGCAAAGGAAACAGCATTTGCATGAAAAACAAGAAGGCACCATTAACATAGAATTGCCGAAGTTTAAATACCCTTATATATAAATATATTTACTCTGTGATCTGTTCTTTGATACTATATACGATAGTTCCTATATACGCTATGTTATATACTCATCAGATGCGTCCGACTTTGGCATCAAGCAAAACAGAATATAAATATGCAAGATAGCTGTAAAGCTCAGCTCAGATACAGTTGTTTGCCAGTGTTGCCAGAGATGTCTCCTTTTATGCACACATACTATATGTATGTACACACTTTTTCGTAACAAAATAATACCCTTAGCAAGGGCAAACATAGCCAAGTGCGCGACGCTATGCAAATTTTGTTATCCCGAAAATAACGTACAAGCACATGCACATTATATATGTATATGTATGTATGTATATATGTATTCAGCTGACTTCTGCATTATTGATTGCAGCGCACACAAAAGAGACAAAGCTGAAATAAATCCCCCCGCCAGAAAATGCAAGCGGGCCGCGGGGTGCCTGGCTCTAGGTATATCTTATTTACTTAAATTTAGAGCTAGTTTTTGTACTACTTACCGCGTCGATTGAAGGGTCGCACCCGCACAGCAACTTTGATCTTATCACTTGACATCGTGCAGGCCTTGGAGATACTCTCACTTTTGATTCAATGGACGCCTATGCGTGCGGTTTGAGTGGGTGTGAGAGCGTCTGAATCATGCACCCACCAAAAAGGGATATGACTGGGACGGTTGTTGTTTTCTTGTTGTTGTTCTTGTTTTTGTTTTTGAGCCCGCCGAGAATTATGTGTGTGGCACGCAATTTTTATTTTGGTTTTTTTTTTTTTTTTTGGTGGCAGGTGACTCACAATGCGAGGGGGAGGATGGGCGCTAGCTCAAGCTTGAATAGTGAGCGTTTCAATTAGCGCCACGCACACGCCTAACAGTAGCTGTAGCTGGTACGTCATGTGGGGCGGAGTGCAAGCGGGGGGCTGTATTTCCATTTCATTCTTGACTTGCGCTATTTATTACGCACACCCGCACACACACATATACATATGCACATGTGTACACACTGGTAATTTTTGTTGTTGTTTGTGTTACTGTGCTGGAATTTTATATGTATTTGCACTTGTTTTTATTTGGGCACACGCTTAAATATTTGCCTAAAATTACTATTGTTGTTGCCTAATTATGTTTATTGATTATGTGCAATTATCTGGTTTTTGAAAATAAAAATGAAGATCGCACACACACACAAGCAGACAGTCAGAACCAAAAATATTAGCACACACATGAACTTTAAATTTCTCTCTTGGCTGGACTTTTGGCAAGGAAGCAGGCAAAAAAAAAATCAAGCACTGGGCGCTCCACCGACGCCCGCGCGAAAAGTCTCCCTTTTGGCCTGTATGACTGTGACTTCGTTGGAGAATCGATTTTTATGGCTCTTTTTCCTGAAGCTGCGATTTTATGCTGTGCAGGATATGTTCTCGTATAGCTGTTATTATTTACAAATTACACCGTTTTATATTTCCGTTTGCGCGTCGTTTGACATTAATTTAAACTATTTATATTGCAATTTTGTTTTTCGCGTCGTTTCACTTTAATTTTTGCTATTTTATAATGGTTTCTCGACCTGCTATGACTGCCGATAGCGATTGACATTATTTGCAATTTCAAAGCAACTCTGGCCACAATGATGCCACTTAATTGAGTGTGACCGCACAAATTTAAGGTAATTTTTGCAGCGTTGCCACCTAGTTGTGTTTATTGCGCGCGATTTTCGTTTATTTTTAAAAGCGATATTCAGTGCTATTATTTGTATACACAGCACAAAAGTACTATAAAAACGACAAGGCTTACTTGAATGCTTTAAATCGCATTATAAGACGATATTTAAGAGCTAGCAACAGGAATTGTATAGTATATAGTTACATGGAAAACTGAGAGTCGGAATAGGGATTGAGAAAGGTAAAAAAATAAAAGAGAAACTCATCTATGTCGCACTTGTTGAAATTTATAAGAATCTCTTTTCGTTCTCACACTCTTACTTTCACTTTTTCCGAATCCCTCTCACCCTCACTCTTTGGAGGATTTTCGTATGCTTAAATAATCCTAAAGATATTTATGTTAATTCAAGGCAGTTAAAATATAAAAGTCTGAAGTAAATGCGAGAAAACAACGTAAAAGAGTATTCCCAAAAGGTACTTAGTAAGTGAGTTCCATTACGATATGTCGCTCGGGCTTCAAATATTGTCATATGGTTTTAATAAGTGCACTTTTAAGTAACTTTTAAAATGCGTGCGGCTATTTTGAGGCGCACCTTCAGATTTGCGGAAATAGCGCTAACCCATTATCAAGGCAGTGCAATGAACGGATTAATCTCTCAATGATAAACAAGAACTGCACGCCACAACCTTGTAAAGTACCGCCGATCAACGCAGTAGCAGAAACTCGGAAATGCACGCCGGTAATTGTTCAGACAGACGAAATGACAACAAATAGCTGGAGTTGCGAAAAAAAAAAAAACGTCACCAAGAAACCTGAAAACGTTTTGTTTTGATGGTGCTGATGATGAAGTGTTACGCTTGTTGTTGTTTGTTGTCGTTTACGTGGTTGTTGTCGCTCAATCTCTTGTAGCGACAGAGCGGCGGCTGATGCTGCTACCTGTTCACGTGCTGCCGTGCGGTCTCAGAGTTTATAAATGTTCAAGACGAGACGCAGGGCGCAGCAGTTTCTCGGTAAACCTCAGACGTGCGCAACCCATAGCAAAAATTAAGCGAATTTAGATTAAGTTTTAATGTTGCTTTTTTCTCGGCGATGTTATAATATTTTTTTATAACTCACACACTCAAAGACAACGAATGCTTCATAAAAGCAATAAAGTCAAGCTATAAAGCAATACAAAAGAAACTTTATGTGCAAATTTAAAAAAAAAAAAAAAAAATTCCAACGAAAGTGAAATACAATTTAAATTGTAATATTTGTGCAAAAATCAAATAAGTTCACTTTTTCCAAAGTAAGTCTCAGCAGCATAAAAAATAAAATATTTAAAATATGTGGCCTAGTTTTCATTGCATTCGAATGTGCTGCAATATGCACTGAATAATTACTACCAAAGTCAGTGCATATTGACTTAGGTCTACGCGCTCGAGTGAGAAACCCAAAAACCCTAATAATATTTGTAAAGGTCGACCCACATGCATAATCTGCAGAGGAGTACTAACAAAGTGCCTAATACCGATTCCATTATTAACACCCAAACGCAACATCAATCGTGAAATCAAACGGGCTGCTAAGATTACAAAATCTCATAATAAATTATTATTTTTGTTTTTTTTTTTTTTTTGTTTTTAAACTTGCCAAAAATGGGCATTATTGAAACGGATGCCACTAAAGGTGAAGGCGCCGGCTCATTTGCATAGCATATATACCAGAAGAAAAAAAAGTTTCAAAAAAGAGATGCAAAACCCAAAGGCGGTTCGCCCTTGAAATGGTTTCATCGAAGAGCAATTAACTAACCAGCTATCGAAACGGGCTTACAGCGAAAACCATGTCAGACTACATAAGTAAAGCGCATATACCACTCTATATATATATATATACCTGTATATATGTGATTTTTTATGAATTGGACTTAGTTTTTGCACATGTCACACGAGCGTACAATTTGCTTTGGCCGCAGGGCTTCAATTTGGCCAAATCTCCCGAATGGGCTGAACAACTGTGCAAATATTGAAAATTAAAAGTATTTGCCGAAAACTGATCAAAATTCAATTCATAATGAAAGGCAAATATGGCCAAAAAAAAAAAAAAAACAAAAACCATGTCTAATAATAAGCAGAGACAGGAATCTTGGAAGACATCGCAAATGTCATCTACGACTGATTAGTGGAGTTTTAAGCTAATGACTTTTGCTTGTTATAAAAGAGAGAGAAAAAAACCTAGTACCTGACTAGTACAGTAGAGCAATGAGTTTGTCGTTGAACGAATCGCAGACGGAGCACTTGGAGGCAATAATATTGGCAAGTTCGAATTTGACAGACACCCCAATAAACCTTCAAGTGACTTGTGATTTTAATTGTTTTTGATTTTATGTGTTTGGTTTGTTTTTTACCTAACTGATCAGCTGCAGTATATATGGCTACGTCATGAGTTGGCATTGAAGCGCACTTACGATATGCCTAAAAACTGGGTGAGGGGATAATTGATGTTTGAACTTGATTTGTTTGCCTCAGACCCGTACATTCGATGGGCCATTGTCATGAACAATATCGGGGTGCAAAGCTCTTAATGAGCAGCTATTTGACAAATTTGGACTCTTGGATAAAACGGGGATTTAAAAAAAAAAACGCATACTCACACACACACTTTCAGTTCCGGTGGGAAGTGCACAAGTGCTGAGTGTATGTCCCACTCCGAGAGAGCTCCACTAATTGTATTTGCATACGCCGTGTACGAAAGTGGCCTGAAAAAAAATGAAAAAAAAAAAAAATATATTGTTACCGCTTGTAATTGACAGCCAAGTGAACACTCGAGTATATTCATAAGCGTACTAACCATAACATTGACAATGCAACTAATTCATTAACTTGTTTCGCAGCTATTGCCGCTGACGATAGCGGTCCAGACGATATGCAGCGATACGGATATGGTTTAGCATTAGCTGTAAGCCTGAGCCTGATCTTTGCTTCTACGGGCAAACAGAACGATTCGACGCTACAGCTGCGTCCATATAGTCATACGATTCTGAATGGCAGCAGCAACATCTGGTCGGAGAAGGACTTGGAAGTGAAAGTCACGGCAAATGATCGTCATGAAGCACAGTTGGCGCACAGCTCTGTCATCTATGGCTTAGCAGAAGTGGCCAACGCGAGCAACGTGAATGCCATTTGCCACGCGCAATTGAAGCATGTGCAGCGCGGAATCCTCAACAAACAGCCTTGGGCTATGAAAGGTGATCATTATTTTAATATGGCAGATCTGTTTATTTTTGACTGTTTAAGATCTTTAAGAGCTTACCTTTCCTTTTGCAGTGCTCGATGCCTCTGGCGCCAAGTCTTCGGGTTTTATTTTTGGCCAAAACTATTGGCTGGGCAGTCGGGAGGGCTGCAGCAGCGTCCAGCGACCGATGGGCATAACGTTATCCAAGAACTATGAGCGTATTATGCACCATGGCCTCATAACGCAGCAGGCGCCCTTTGACATGGACTATCGTGTGGTCTATTTGCGACACAATTCGCCCTGGCAGGTGGAAATAAAACTAATGTCCGAACAAATCTTACACATTGGCCTGTGCTTGCCCAGCGCGTGCCAGTCGAGCGAGATCCAGCAGCTGACCAGCGATTATGTCGCGGGCAGCTTCAAGCAGAACGACATCTTTGAGCTGCAGCCCGAGGTGCTATATGTAAAGGATTTAAAGTTGCGCGACAGTTTCTATGATCGATTGAGTTTTAAGCTTGTCATCGGCTTCGTGCTGGCCACCTGCGCCTTCATGCTGTGCGCCCAGCAGCTCAGCGTGGCCAAGCAGCTGCCGCCAGAGGGGCATGACGATGGTGTGGGCCTGGCGCCAGTCGAATCGGAAATATGGAGAGCTTTGCACTCCATGCTGCAGTGGCGTCCGCTGCAAAGCTTTGTCAGCTGCTACGATGTGGTCAGCAACTGGCGCAGAATCTTTGCCACGCGCGAGAGCAGCCCCTCGCAGATACCCTTGCTCAATGGACTACGTTCCGTGTGTGCCATTTGGATATTAATCTTTCATGTCGTTTGGTTTATGTACTTTACGGTGCACAACAAAACGGAGCTCATATCCTATGCCGAGCAGATCTTCTTTCAGTATGTTTCGTCCGCGCCGCTGCTGGTGGATGTCTTCTTCACCATCAGGTGGGTACAAGGCACGACGGATTGTGAGCCTGATCTAATCCTCGACTGTTTGCAGTGGTTTCCTGCAGACCTACAACTTTATGCGCAACGTCAAGCAAATGGAGGCAGTGCGTCAAAATGGTCTTATGGCCAATGCCAAACTATTTGGCAAGCTGGTCTTCCATCGCTACCTGCGACTGGGCCCGCTCTACATCATTATCATTGGCAGCGTGGACCTGGTATTTGCTTACATTGGCGACACCTCCGTTTACCACATTCATGAGCGCTTCGATGAGCTGTGCGCCCAGCATTGGTGGCGCAATCTGCTTTTTATACAGAATCTCTTTGATCTGCAGGACATGTGCGTCAATTGGAGCTGGAGTGTGGCCTGCGATATGCAATTCTTTCTGTTGGCCAATGCGATTTTGTTTCTCTATGCCAAGTGAGTATGGACTTTGCCTCATATTGTTGTGTATTTTATCGAACCTTTGTTTTTAGACGTCCTAAGTGGGCACGACTTGTTGCACTCGCTGGCTTGTTGGCAACCATCAGCTGGTCCTTTAGCATTGGCATAAATTCCAAGTTTGAGTTCTCCTTCGACACGGTCTACGGCACGGGCACACAAATCTATATAAGTCCGTTTGTTCGGGTGCTGCCCTATATTGTCGGCTCCATGGCCGCCTGGTGCTTTCTGGAGCGCCGTCTGCGCTGCAAGTTGAGCGATATGCAACAGCGCTGGCTTTGGCACTTCTGCCTGCTGGTCTTCTTCATTTGCATCTACTCGACCGTCAAGCGTGA